CACGCCGCCATTTTGATTTCAGTCGTTGTGCAAAACAGCCCATCTAACATATGAAGGGTGTGCGCTATACGTGCTCTTTTTTACGAATTCTCTATACCTTTAGACCGTATGCGTGATGCATTGGCTAAAAAATTGCTATTCAGCCAGCCATCTCAACCCCGGAATCGGTTCTACCGATCACTAAAAAGCGTTGGTATGTTCACCGACTTCATTTACTCATCTCATAGCTAGAAAAGACTTGAGTGGCTAAATGTAAATAACGTTTTAACGTAGCGCTGACATGGCCGCAACAACGGTTAAAGGTGTGGCGTCGGATTAGGGCACAGACATGTTGGACCACCTAGCCTCAGCCAATCCTGTGTCCCTCTGCGTTCCAATGGCATGCGAGAAAGATAAACAGCCAACCAGATAAGGACACGACTGAGGTGCAGTATATAATGAACGGCGTGGCCAGCGTGGTGGACTCGGATGGAAGGCGCCTGACGCTTGGCTCTGGCTTCTGATTGGTCAATAAAGCCTGTTCTGTTGTACCAGTCTTTTACCTATTAGGGCTCAAATATTCTACAAAGGTGACCGTGTAACTAAATATACAGCTGTTTGATCTCTGGTGGTGAGTTTCTTTTACCGAGATTGCAAGTCCTGATTCATTAAACTGATGCGTTTAGTGTGGTTCTTAGTCAGTGATAGGAAAGGCGGGCGGAAATATTCAGAAATTGAAACAGAACTGAGAGAATCACGAAAACAAAAGTCCAACCGTTTTTAGCTACATTTCAAACAAGTTATGCCTCGTGTCAAATAATCTACACCGATTGGTTCAAAACAATATCGTTCACAAAGATATAAGTTTCATGGATCAACCTCTAGACATCATGGGTCGCTATTAATGTCTGATGACGCGAGTGGTAGATCTAATATGTGCCTTTTAATTGAATGGTCTTATGTCGTGAGAGCATAAGCTGTAATAAATACTTTACTAATCATACAAGCAGTTAGAAATATTCCGAATGTCATTTGAGTCAAGACATGCAATTATTTGCACTGAACCATGATTATATAGTTTAGATCACTGGAATTGACCTTCTGTTACGGTTCCGCGTAGCCACCGGTTGTTGAAATAAATTAGCGTTGATATTAGTCAAAAAAGGAGGGACAAGTAGGAAAAATCAGAGAGTGAAAGACAATTGTGAGATCAAATTAAGAGGACGTTTCATCACATTTGGCGATAGTTTAGACATATTCAAATCCAATTTTTTCGTATCCTAGCATTCCACGAACGCCAATGTCTGGCTCATACTAAGCAACAAAGATTAAGAAATGGTGTAGTAATACCAACTACCAGCAACTAAATTCACGCAGCAAATTTAATTTTAAAAAAATTGACTATTACATAACCTAAGTAGGTAGCACATTTAGGCGAATAGTTGTTCACCTAAATTTAAAACGCAACTTGTCTTCTCAACTTTTACCATAATGTTTTTATTGATCATGGTATTAATATGTTGTACATACAAATCGCTGATTTTATGACATATTGCTTGCATTATTTTTTGTTTAGACCCTTAAATCCAATTGAAACTTTCCATGAACATTGATACAATATGTTGAATGCATTAGCTTTGTTGCTTGCTTGACGAAATGAGGAAAAGTCTCAAATTAAGGCAATCATTTGTTTTGTATCATATATTCCTTCCGATGTATTTCATCGCTGTCGTGTAAAAACTGAATTAACAAATGCACATTAAACAATAAATGTGCTTTTTAGATTATACTTGGATTGCTAGTGGAAATTCAAAACATAAATTATGTTTTAGAATACAACTTTAAAGACCACATATATATGGCAAAGTTAATTATTTTACAAGGGTTCATTTTCCTAATCTGCTTTCGTAGCAAAGGACTCAAAACGAGGCTTCTTGTAGAATGAATTGGCAGCAGTTCTTTTTATTCCTGTCTTACTGTTCCAGACGTGTTCACAAAACAGACCATCTTGCACAGCCAAAATAGTGAACATTATTAAGATTTTACCATCATTTCAGTTTTGATTGCTAATTTAGTGGCCTAAATTAGCACTACCACAAAACCCTATTGATAACAACCAGTCACAACCCAAGATAAGAGAAGGCAGATTCGACAATGAACACGACCGTTTATTCGCTACACGCATGTTAAGTCGAGCCGAGTAAAATCGAGCAACTAACTTCTGTGTGCGAATAGGTAAGCGTGCGTTACATCCGATTGCTAACAAAAGCCAATAACAATGAGGGTGAGTCAATGATGCAGTCGGGCAAGCATACCCGAAGCACTCACGCGCGGTTGCTGTTTGTCCACAATACCGTATTCAAGGTAAAATAATCGATTGATTTGGGTATGTTCGAGCTTGCAAACTCTTATTGTCAATGCTACCTCGACATGTAGGTTGAATGGGCTGTGTGAGGATTTAGGTGAGGGTGTGTTTGCCAACAACGAAGTCAATGCCTTGCTTTTCACCGATCTACTTGACTTCTTTGTGTTTAGCTAGACGCAACATGCTTACGCGATTTGCTATTGCTATCTGACACGAAACTTGTGGGTCAACAGTAAGGAAACAAGTGGAATATTTTTTACATTATCAAAGCCTACGAATTTCCAGAGCAGCGCCTCAAATCGAACAATATAAGTATGGAAGCTATAATTACTGATCTCTACATGGTACCACAGAGTGACCGACATTCTAGTTTTCGATGTGAAGATATAACTACTGTCTACTGAAATGTTAATAACCTATTTGATTAGCACATTTTGACTGAATATATTTACATTGCAATAATCATGCCAACAACCAATGAGCACACATCTTATTGTTCATGTTCAACAACCAAGTTTCAATTTCACAAACTCGACTGAACTTGTGGAATTGAAGAGGTTTCTGGTAAATCAGCTACTAAGTGACCATTTTAACCACTTAAGGAAGGTCATTACAATATGTTACTTTGCATAATTAGTGTACTTTTGGACGGAATAATGCTTTGACAAATGAAATATTAACCACGTGTGCCACAAAACAACATCTTTGTGATTCATGCCGTTCGACGTTACCTTATTAATCAGTTACGCTGACACTTCGTCAAGGAGCCTGACTAATTTGTTACGGAATTTGACTTATCCATCTGACGTCATTTTGATAAGCTTGATTCAAAATTTTTTATCCACTCGAATGCGGCTCAAACAACAAAGACGGTGACGTAAAAGCAAGAGATGCAACAATTTCAAAAGGGTATATTAGATTTGCAGTGGCAATCTCGAATGTTTGTTTTAAATTTTCGTTTCATGATCAAGAAAACAAGTTGTGAGTGTCAATAAGCAGGTTTTAAACATATTCCTCGTAACAAAATTTTTGCTTATGATCTCTATAACGGATCTGCAGTAATGACTTAGGAATTAGTGTCACAGTCACCTATTTTTCCACTACATACGATTTAACTTAACAAAGACATGATTTTGCATAATAAGCACCACTACACCAAGAGCAGTTCACTACTCGTAAATATATAGATTGTTCATAGATAGTGAACATTGCAACAGGCCTCAGTGCACATATTCACATAAGTTAAATTGCCTTCAACCTCGGTTAGATATGTAAACATTAGATTGGGCTTACATTTATGCGGTTCGATTCCATATGACATCAGCCATTCTGATGTGAATTCCCTGAATTATCTTAAAATGTGCTAGCGATTTGTGACTTAACTTTGTCAAATTCTACAATGGTGTCCATCCAAAAAAATTGCGAAATCTGCAAGGAGAGATTGTTTGAGTCAATGATCATGGCGATTAAGTGTCGAATTGCAGTTTTAAAACCCGTATCAAAAGTGAGCAGTAGACAAGAAGACAAGTAGACATTAAGCTATTTTGCATATACCTTCTGGTAAAGTAAACCTTTAGGAAATCGGCTTAAATCGCCTGATTTGAATATTCAGGTTTTGACTTTCCCAAGTCAAAAGGTGGAGCCTAATGCTGATTGTTTTCATAAGTAGGAGTCATTGTTGCTGGTACCTTTCTTAATGCCAGGAATAAGACAAACTGGCTAGACGAAAACCGTTGTAGTGTTACCTGAATGCATTGTATATAGTTGCAGAGAGAGAAAATAGTACACCATCGAAGCAAACCACTTTAATCAAAATCAAATATATGCTTAATAAGCCCTAATTCTTGAGCCTTGTCTGTGGGCTTAATATTAAATAAACTTAGTATTTCTACCCGAAGTGTTAGTCTAACGAACTGTTGTCAACACAAAATCTTATCGCGTTTGACAACTCCGCTTTACCACATTAACGGCAGACATAATTTAGCAATGCCACTTAAGTCAGCAAAACCAGGTTTTACCACTAGATAACCATGATATTGCACATATCTGAATTTTTTTCGAAATTAAATTTTTAAATAAACTTTTCATAAGCACTGCTATCCCCCTACTACCAAGCAAAACGGCAGTGCAGCTGAATGTTTACTTGGGCAATTTTATTAGAAATGTCGTGTTGCGTAATTTAATGTCCACAAATAGAACTTGGTAAATTAAGGAAATATAGTAAAAAAAATAAGAATCCATTAAGGTTCTGCAACGAGGAAAGAGCACAAATTCAATTGCCTATGCGAAGCTCTGAATGACAAGCATTGCAGCAATCAACATTCCAACGCCGGGCAGCATTGTGAAAGCTGAGTTATACGGCCGCTCTCCAGTTATATTGCCACTGAAAGGTATAAACATGGCACAGTAATTTAGTTGGTCAAAACTGTCAATTTCTCTAATATGTCCGTGCACGTATGCTGCACAATCAACTTCTTTGACATTATTTGCTGTATTAAAGGCATTAGCTAACTATCCAAGGCCTCGACGAAAACTATTAATCAGTGTTAATTATGGATTAGTGATAGTTGTTTTCGACTGCTATCACAAAAGAGCAAATGGTTACTTACGTGGGTCTGTAGAAACAGACAATAAGAACTTTAGTAGCTGGTTCAGGTGGAGATTCGGGCTCTGCAGCCTGGGAATTTATTTCTGGGCACTCATTTTTCGCACATCCAACTTCTGTCGTATTCGCCCACACTGCCTGGTAAGACAAAATGCCACGTTGTGTAAATAGAGGACACAATTTGTACACTTAAGCATTGGTGTGTCTTAAATACGTAGTCGTCAGAGTGTAATCACTTCAAAATCCGTGCACATAAAATCAGGAAATTAAGCAGAAGTGAAGCAAGGGTGCCATAACAAAGAACATCAACTTATCGATGCTGTCAGCAATCATTAGCTAGTTTTTTTACCGCTGGCTACGATTATGCCATGCATATCTCTTCGATGTCATTTCAGAGGTTGGAAGTGTGAAAGAGATGTGCAGTAAACAGCAAGTCGTCACAAACGGATGAGAAGTTGAAAGATATTATGTGCTTACCTGCTTGTAGTTGTCGCAAGTGCCGGAGCAATTATTGCTACCATAATCGTAGTTTTTGCCTTCATCATTATATGTATCAAGTATAGCCTTCTTTAGGTCATCGCCTGGGTTGGTTAATGTAGTCATTCCAAGGCCAGCATAATCTGCTTCGCTTTCTGTATTTGGCTTGGTAGCTTTGCAACCTGCTACATACTTGTTGGCTTTTCCCGCTAAATCATCCGAGTATTTCTAAAGAGACACAAGGCATTAGCCGCAAAATAAAAGTAATTTGAACAAACTGTAGGTGAATAGAAAACTAGAATTACCGCAAGACTAGACACTTTACTTACCAACTCCTGCATGTCCTTGGCAGGTGGCTGCACATTTGCACGCAGTTCCTTAAGTCCCTCTAAAACGGCATTCTTTTCCGTATCGTTCAAAACGGCATTTTTCTCGTTCTGTTCTGGAGTGGACCCTTCGACATCAGTTAAAGCATCACTTGCCACGCACCACGACAAAGCAAGCAGACAGATGAGTTTCCTCAACATACCTACAAATGCAATTTTATTTACTCATGAACTAGACTTCTTACTTAGCTCGACGTCAAATGACAAGTATCAAACAAGCGATGTTGATGGTATCGCTAAGTAGTATATATACTTGAGGAGCGCAGTACCGTGGTTGGTGGAGGCAATGGTGTGCCAATCAATGCATCGGCACGTGCTTGTGCTCTAAAATGGATGTGCGATGAAAAAACGATCGATTGCTGCAATTTGTGAAATAAATGTAATTGTTGACTTGTCATAATTTTTTGTAACTAAATTTAAATTCCGCAAATCATTTTACGTGTTTCACGATGCAGGTTAGATGCCGCTGCTTGCATAATTCCACGCTCGTGAGATGTGCTGCATTTTAGCCATATTACTAAAGATTAAAATAGGTTTTAAATGATAGCACGGAGTTATTCTTCATGAATCGGCAGGTTTGACGTTTAAAGTCGTTTCGTCTGACACCAACATTAGTAATCTGCCCTTAATGCATTTTTAACAAAATAGTGTATTGTACGCATATTCCAACAAATTGAATCTTTAAAAAAGTGCTTCAGTAAAGTTAAATTGCTCAAAAACGTGCAATATGGCTACTGAATTGGAGGAATTTTCGTTAAATCTTTTGATTGAATTGCTGCGCAAAGAAAATCCATCAGACAGATTTATAAATTAGTTGTGACAAAAATTCACATGATATTTCGACATTTTGGAGTAAAAGTTGTGATCAGCGAGTTTTGAAACATTCTTTATTAATTTATGTATGCGACGTTTGCTAATGGATAGATCGAAATCAAACTGGTAGATGTGAGCGTCTGCCTCCTGCTTGATTCTGAGGCCACCTTACCGGAAGTCAAACTGGCTCCACAGCCACCACTCCGGTTTGGATTTCACGCGCTAAAGCAGTTGAACGTTTCTCATAGTTGTCCGTAATGTAAAGAGTCTGACTTCATGGCACTACCCAGTAAATGCAATTTGGGATCAATATCCTTTGTTTAAAAGTTAAAATCTGAACCAGTTTAATAGTTTTCGAAAAAGCAATTTGACAAGCAGGCATTACTGCTAATTAGAGCAGTATTCAATTTGCCCTGGACATCCAACCCAAAGAATTACATCCAGCGTTGATAATCTAATGTGACTTTGCATTGTTTGTGTCCGCCAAAATATTAAATCAAATTTGCAGACAAACACTTTTTCCATGGAATACAAGTGGAGAGGTTATCGTGGGGTTTAATGGTATCTGTGGGGATTAGCGGGTGTACACGATTAACAAGCGCTGGCAAGCTTGGATTCAAATGACTTATCTCAATGCATATCACGTAGTGAAGTTCTTTAAGAGGTTATTTTCAAGCGTTCCCATATACAAAAGAATACGCAAAGCTATAAACTCCAATCCTAATTAAGCCTTTTAGAACATCAATAATTCAACTGAACCCCTTATTTTCTTACTTGTTCTGGTTATTCAACGTCAACGGCGAAAACTGTGAAATGCGGCAATGTTTGTGATTAAGATTCCTTAAGATATCGCAGTTTTCTAAGTGTGTACACCGTTGCTTTAACCAGGCTACAGCTGTGGGTGAGTCACCCAAGTCGCCACACTCTCGAATTCACCCGTTGTAATTCGTCTTCAAACATCAGGTCATTGCCATTTGCATCGGGTGCATCAGCACTCCCTTACAACCCTGCTAGATTAGTGCGTAACTACCTGCAAAGTGCAATGAAACAGACAATAGGGAACACAATTTATTAAGAGGATTGGATTACCAAGTATTGTGTAGCAAGGCTAGAGTATGAATATCGACGGTTACCTGTTTTCGACAATGGATAGCATTGGATCAACTCGTCAATAAGCTTCACTCGATAGAAGGTCACTTCACACATGATATGGACACATTTCAAGTTTGTGTGAGACAACAAAAGTTCTATGCAAAAGCTCCTGCATTGTCTTGCTTTTTGTAGGGTCACAGGAAGGATATCACAATCGGTTTTTCTCAGTGCTTTTCTTCTCATTGCGCGTAAAACGTGAAAGTAAATTAAATAAGTAGTGCATGGTTTGTGTTTTTGATCAAGTTGAAAATGTATGTGTAAGTCTTCTAAGCAATCCCTTCTATTACCTATAAATATTCTCTTTTTTTGAATAGAATTTTCTGTTATGCCTCTGTCGTCAACCACTAGAAGAAGATGCTATTAGCACAACTGCATTATACTACTATATTGTTTGTTTCAATTTTATATCAAAATGAATAATATTTGCATGGGGATATACAGGTTGCTGAATTTTACAAGAGAAATAATGAATCCCTGAAAATTATTTTGTTAGGAAACCCGTAGTTCACTACCATTCAACCTACAGCTCTTTGAAATAGGTTGAATGCGCTTTGTTACAATTCTAGTGTGAGAATTTGACGAAGACAATATGCATCAATCTAAATGTCAGTGGCATTAAAAAACGTTCGCAAGAAAACAGCTGCCAAAAATTCAGTAACCAAGAGAGAGAGAGTTAATTAAGGCAATTCTTGTCTTAAAGTCCTGATGACGTTGATTTTTTCCTACCACTGCAACTTACCAATTTTCGTTTAACACCGATGATCAGTGATCTGTATCTAGTAATTTAAATCAAAAGTACTATCAAGGCATACAATTTACTTCCATTATCCGATGCTGTTAGAACCCATCGTGCGAAATCGTTTTATTCAATAAGGTTTTAATGTTATCCCTGACAAACCCCACTAGAACTCTCCCAACAAAATCAACAATTATGACTTGTCTTTTGATTGATAGATGATGACATACATTTCGACTTGCTTCATTTCAAACAATTTGTTCTATTGCGAAATACCTATTTACAAAAAAACCATTTTAGGCTCCAATTCAATTTCAACAAATCCAAAGCGTATATTATCAATCCGTAGCTAATATGACAATCAGTTAATGGAAATTAAAAAGGTTTTTTTAATGCTGTACCCATTTTAACGTCTCACTGAGTAGGGAAATGTGTGCATTCACTCGGCACCACCAATGCCATACCTTGGATGTCACTTTAACTGCGTGATCGCATGATGCTTCAGTGCTTTAAAGATGCAATCACCATTATTTGATAATCCTTGCCAGCGTATTTTTAGTGAGGACAACAGAAAAACTCTGATATGACATTACTTACTTAGTTTTGATCCATGGCGTTAAACGTAATTTCGGCTTCAGTTGTTGGAAAATGGCGATAAACGCAGGCCATACAGACTGCTGTAATTGAATGCAAGATGGTGGTGCTAATGTTGGAAGAAGTGTGATTTTGACTGCATTTATAAGATCCAACAATCACATCTCATATGCGCTTCCACTTTCTGGTTAAAATTATCGTAAACGCATTTGACCTTATTGTCGGTAGTGTCAAAACCGCAGAACCAATATTATTATGTAAACAAATCAACATCGTACATAGGCTGCATTACAATGATAAATAAAACCGACAGGCGCACTACGAACCTACTAAAGGTATAAAGGGAATGAGTGTTTGTCATAAATATAAATGGGCTGGTATATTGGTAAAAATGACCCGATAATGAGTACTCCTTCCGGAAATTATTAACCACAGTTAAATATATCGGGTATTACAACACTATTGGCCCCTTCGAGAAGAGACGCCACATGACCTCATGCGGTAAAGATTTTCTGTGCCGAATCATTGATGTCAACTGTGTGCTACATACTGGCCGTAATGGATTGGCACTAAGCCAACTCTCCTACGATATACTGAACAACATTGCTGAACCTACTTGATAAAATTCTGTTTTCAACGGCTATGCATCTTAATGGTCATGTTAGATTGCCGAAAGTTAATTGAAAATATGAACTAAGTTAAGTAATTGTAATGCGTTCTGAAAATACGTTGCTTAAAACTATGTTTTAACTAGCTAATAATATTTACTATAGTTTTACCATTATATAACATGATTCGGTTTGACTAAATAATGAATTGAATTGAGGAAGCACATTGGTCCCTTAAATGTTCTAAATAAGGCCCCACAGCAACTAAAACTGGGACGATTCTAAATTCGGAAGACGGACACTTGCCCTAATTTAATTGCAATTATGACACTTAAACTGTGGAAATATGATCTGGTTTTCGAATGTATTTTGCTATTTATAAATGCTGCTCTGATAAATTTGAGGATTTTTGGCCTTTACTTCACTGACAATTTCCTTCACCTACAAATATATTGTCTTACTCCTAAGATGTTTAAATGAATCGTCGATCCGTTCCACATTCAACTTACTTTGTACAAACGGACACTGACAATGTGAAGGTGCAGCCTAAGAGTGATATTAAACACGAAATTTGCAATGATGATTCGTGGAGGTTTCACTTAGGCTATAATGCTGACATTTTGGTTATTAACTTTCTAAACTCTGTTGGCTTGTAGTTCGGTAAAATTCTCATTTCAACTTAACATTATAGAGCACCAAGTTGAAATAGGGATGCTTGAGACTTTTAAGCTATTCTCTGTCCAAAACCAACCCAACCAACGTCGGATTTAGCCACTATTGCTTACAAAGTTTTGTTCATGAAGATACAAAGGAAAATTGAGTTATATTTTTGGCCAGAAATTCAAGGGATATATCTTTGGTTACTTGTGCTACCTGACGGTTAGCATTAGGTGTTATAACACGGCGTCACAGGAGAATTGTCGTCTTAATGCAGCATCACACAAAACCTGTAACCATGATAACATAAACTAAAGATATAAACTTAAAACAGCCGTAAAGACAAAACAAGTCTATGTAGGTTTGGACTACATAGCACAATCAGCGAATGCTGG